AAAGGGAGGACTGTTTTTATATAATATGAACTCATATATGCCTAGAACTAAGAAGAAACTTCCTGACAGTTAGAACAATTAACCAATGGAACAACCTGCCTCCAGAGCGGTGAATGCTCCAACATTGGAAGTTTTTAAGAAGAGACTGGACAGCCATTTATCTGAAATGGTATAGGGTTTCCTGCCTGAGCAGGGAGTTGGACTCAATGACTTCCAAGGTCCCTTCCAACATTATTACTACTACTACTACTACTACTACTACTACTACTACTACTACTACTACAATGATAATTAACTAGATTTAGTTCACTTCAGATAGATTGAAGGTAAAGCAATTGAATATTTCAACCTAAAGCTGTGGGATTTCATGAAAAAAAAATGCTATGTCCATCTTGACCACAAAACTGAATTCTAGTTGTGAAAACTTATCTGAGTAGACACAAAGGGGCCCAAACATCACAAAAGAATGTGCCAGAAAACGGCAATGTTTTAAAGATTGGTATAAACATAATTGCTACAAACACGAAACAAAAAAGGAGGGAGAAAACATTTGGTCTAATCAGATAAAACTATATATCATATATCATTGGAACATCTGGCTCTCCTTAGTTACACCAGTTATGGCTTCCCTTAGTTACACCAGTTATGGCTTCCCTTAGTTACACAAGTTATGCTTAATGTTCCATTCAAACGTAAACACTGATGAATCCAAGAAAGATTTCATCTTTTCTAAAAAAAAAAAAAAAAAAAAAAAAAGCTCTGGAGAATATAGCAGATGTGACAGAGACACTGGAGAGCACTGCAAAAAAAAAAAGAAAAAGAAAGAAAGAAAGAAAGAAAGAAAGAAAAGAAAAGAAAAGATGATACCTAAATATTTAGTATTGGAGCTCTTCTTCATATATCTTAAGCATTAATCTATTGGACAAAGAAAACCTCTTTTAGTGGGATCTCTTTGTAGGCAACAGTGACACCATGTGGGACAAAAGATAGGAAGGCAACCCATGCTGATTTCTAAAAAAATATTTTGAATTCATTTCCCCCCCCCCCAAAAAAAACAACTGAAAATAACTGGAATAGCAGCCAAAAGATCAGTTAATTACAGCTTCTCCCAAATTCTGTAAGATGTACATGTGCTAAGCACAGACGTTCAATATCACTAGGGCAAAAAAGCATGCACAAACTAACCAAACCATTGCTGTAGTAATAGATTTAGCATGTACTCATCTTTGCATTACCAATGCCTATATGCTGAATGTAGTAACTAAACTCAACCATTGTTTTGCTTCTCTAAAAAAGAAAGGCCGGTGGATCTGCGCGGGCGATGGCGGCTACTTTGTAGCCGTCCTCCTGGGTAAGTGTAATGAATCGCTATGAACAGCGGACATCAGCTGTTCAGCGGTTCAAAATCCCCCTCCCGGGCAAAGGGGGGGGGAAGAGGGTTGTCTGAATAGTGGTAGAGCCACTTACGCACCCCCAATATTTTTTTGGGAGGTGTGAAAGGAGTGCTCCCACGGAGTTCAGACTGTCTCCGCTTCCCAGCTGCTTTTGTCCCTAGGGACAAAACAAGCCGTTGCAACCACCTCCGCGTTTAAAGAGATCTGGTGAGTTTTAGAAGTGGACAGAGTTGACTATAGGATTTAACTTTTGCTTTTTTTTTACTTTATATGGATTTTGTTTAAAGATTTATTTTTACGTTTATATTCCCTCTTTTTATTTTTTACTTTTTGCTGAAAGGGAAAGTAAAATGGTGATCGGCAGACTTTCCGGCGTTTTTTCTATTTTTTTAAGCATTTTTGGTGTTTCTTTTTTCCCCTTTCCTTTTTTCTTTTTTGTTTTTTTTATAATAGGAATGGAGTGTTAGTATTATTATTTTTGTTTAATTTTTGTGTTTTATATTTTGTACTTTTTGGTACTTTTAAAAAATGGAATGGATTTTTTCTATTTAATTATTATTATTATTTTCTTCTCCTTTTTCTTTTTCTTTTTTGAACTCCTTTTTTATTTTTATTTTATCATAACGATCCCCTCTTGAAGGATTTTTTTTTTGAATTTATGGAGCTAATTTCTTATTTTTCTTGCTTAATTCTTGCAATTTTTAAGAAGGAGTAAAGTTTTTTTTTTAAGATGGCTCCAAAGCGTCCAGTAATCTCTACAGCTTCCAAGCTGACTTCTTCTTCGGTGTTATCATCAGGGCAACAATCTAAATTAATAGTTTCACCTTCTTTCTTGCCACAGTCAACAATGGTGAAGGACTTGCAAGATATGATGGGAGATGTTATACTTCAAATTAGGGGAGAAATGAAAGAGATTTTAGAGGAAAATAATAAGACTTTGAAGCAAGAGATAGTTTTGACTTTAAAAGGAGTTGCCTCTGTTCTTGAAAAGTTGAATTCTCGCGTAGAAGAGGTAGTAGAAAAATTGGAATTGATGGAGGAAAAATTTGAAAGTATGGAAAAAGAGATGAAAAACTTTCAAGATGAGATTCTTATGCTTCAATATAAACAAATGGAATATGCCTTAAGAATCAGAGGTTTACATGAGTCTGTGCAAGGAGATTTGAGAGAGATGGTGGCAAAGGACTTTGCTGTGATTCTGAATAGAGAAGAAGAGGAAATACTTAGTGGAATTGATCAGACATTTAGAGTTAACTCTGTGGTGGCAGAGCAAAAGAATTTGCCAAGAGATGTGGTAATTTACTTTGGGAAAAGATCCCTGCGCAATGAAATTATACAAGCCTTTTATAAGAAGAGGTTTCAAATTGCTTCACAAGATGTTATAATTTTAAAGGAGATCCCACCAAAAATTTTAAGAAGAAGAAAGGAGTTTGCTTTTTTAGCAGACAAACTTAAAAAGAGACAAATTTTGTTTAGATGGGATGTTCCGACTGGAATGGTGGTGAGCTACCTGGGGATATGTTATAGTCTTAATATTGTTTCTAAAGCAAAAGATTTTTATACTTTGGTCCTGGGGGTATGCTCATCGTCACCTACTACGCTTAAAGCTTTGGAAGAAAAAAAGGCAGAATTGCAGTTTGAGGGGCCCCAACAAGTAGAGATGGAGGAGCAGAAGACAACCTGTGCAACATATAATTGTAAAGAAAAGGATCAACAGAAGAAGTTTAAGGAAGTTCCACAAGTATTGGTTTCTGAATCTGAGGGAGAAGTAGGATTTATAAATTCTTTGGAGCAACCTTTAATGCCAGAATTGCAGTCTGAAGAGTCTATATTAATTAAAAATGGGAGGCCTCAACAAGTAGAGATGGACGAGCAGAAGATAACCTATGCAATATATAACTGTAAAGAAAAGGATCAACAGAAGAAGCTCAAGGAAGTTCCACAAGAGATGAAAGACCAGAAGACAACTTGTCCAACATATAAATGTAAAGAAAAGGAGGTTGAGGAAGCTTCACAGGTATTGGTTCCTGAGACTTGTGTAACGTATAAATGTAAAGAAAAAGTAACATATAAACGTAAAGAGAAAGACCAACAGAAGAAGGAGGTTGAGGAAGCTTCACAGGTATTGGTTCCTGAGTTTGTGGGAGAACCAGGACTTACAAATTTTTTGGAGTGATCTTCAAGGGCAGATTTTAACGCATTTTTTTCGATGCTTATGGGCAAGAGAGACTGATAAGGATTGTGTTTATAGTGGACGTAACCGGTTATTGGACAGAAGATTATGGAGACTGAATGAAAATTTTAGATAAGAAGTTTAAGTTTAAGTAATAGGTTTGGAGTATATTATAATGTCTTCAATGTTTGGGTTTTTTTTAATTATTATTATTATTATTTTTAAGATGCAATTTGTTATTGGTAAAGATGTATATTACATTGTGTTTAAGATAGTATTTGTTATTGGTAAAGATTAAATGCGTATAAGGGGATCTTAATGTTTTAAGTTTTAAGTAATGTTCAAATTTGTGTCTTGGAGGGAGTTTATAAAGAATGATGGAATATAAGTATGACATGAAAAGGTTTAGAGTATATTATAACGTGTTTAATGATTGGATTTTTTTAATTATTATTGTTATTATTATTATTTTTAAGAGAAGATAATTTGTTTAAAGTTTAAGTTTAAGTATTTAGCTTAAGTATTCAAAGAGTGTTTTGTTTCAATGGTATAATGAAGGTTTATATGTTTATTTTTTTGTTTTATGATAAAGAAAGAGGGAGAGATTAGATTTATATAGATGTATAGATGTTCAAAGAAAGTAATGTTTAAATTTGTGTCTTGGAGGGAGTTTATACAGAATGATGAATAATATTATAAGTATGATGTTAGAAAATGTTTAGAGTATATTATAATGTGTTTAAGGATTGTAATTATTATTTTTTTTAGAGAAGATAACCTATTTAATTTAAGGTATTTAGATTTGTTTAGGATTGATATGTGTTTTAAGTTTTTCTTTTCCTTTTTTTGAAAAATTTTAACTAAGCCTTCCTCAACTCTGGGAAGGTTGGGGGAGGGTTTGGGAGGTTTGGGGAGGGGGGGAGGGTATGGGAGGGGGGGTTTCGGGGAGGGGATTTGTTTTGTAAAATTTAAAAAATTTTCAATAAAAAAAAAAGAAAGCACAGCATATTTACTGACACCCGGTTTTTAAATTAATCCTGCATGAATTTTAAACTTTCCAAAACAGGTTTAAAAAACAAACAAACAAAAAAAAAACAGCCTGAGCCTACTAAATAGGTTACCATGCAGGTGTGAACAGTATTGCTTTGTGTGACCATGAGCTTTTCTCTTAACACTCCACTCTCATGTCACTCTATCTAGCCTAAGCCAATAGAAAAAGAGATACACTGTATTGAACAGGCTGGGGAAAGAATTTTGGGGAGGAGAAGAGCCCAGTGTTAAACCTCAAAACAATAGTAAACTCATAGTTCTTGAAATAGCTGGAAAATGCAAAGAATACGCCAATTGTATTAATTGTATCGATGGTGATTTAAACTAGACCTAAGCCAGACAAGGCAGAAAGGCATCTGACTCAGTAAAAATGAATTACATACCTGTTCGGCCTTCTGGTGAAACACAGCAGACATGGCCAGTATAGTGCTACGCTCATCCAGTGCTGCAGCAAAGCTCTTCCACTCTTGATCTAGCTGTGTGGAAATCTGCTTAATTTGTTGAGATGCATAATGGCCAGCTTCTGAAAGCCTGGATGCAACAGACATGATGCGATTGATATTCACATAGGCATTCTGAAGAGAAAAAGCAAATGGGAGAACTGAAATTATACTTTAGCATAATTAATGAGAAAATTATGGTTTCCTTATTGTAGCTCACCTGCAGACAAATCTTGCCAGACTAAAGCTACTATCTGCATAACTATAGATATATCCTGTGAACTGCTAGGGAGGGGGGGTCACCTTACCCCCTTTCCTGTCTACCAGACTTTCTAAGCTGCTTTGCCTCTTTGCCCTCTGAAAAGCAGCCCCACCCTCTTAGGACTCCAGACATTCCACCACATAATCTGATAAAATGTTTTAAAAGGAAACAGTTGGGGAGGGTAAGAAGAACATTTACAATCAAAGTAGTAGTGAAAACAATCTAAAAGTCAAGCTGAACAGTCAACAAAATCATACGATAAAGTTTGTATCGCTTGATGCAACATATAACAGATCTGCAGATAAAAGGTTCAGTGTCTGAATACAGTCCCTATATTAGCCTTCTTGCCCATGGTCCATATGTATGGATTTTATCTCCCAGAATTCCCCATTCACCATGATTATTGGTGAGAATTGGGAAGCTGAACTCCACATGCTTGGGGGGCATTGAGGTTGGAGAAGAATGCTTTTTGTGCAGTGTTTTCGGCATCTGAAGATAAACCTGGTAAAAAAAAAATTGATTGGAACATTTCTGATTTATTGTACAATTTTCATGTTGAAGTATTTAAATAGCTGATCTACAGCATAATGTAATGCAGCGGTTCTCAACCTATGGGTCGCGACCCCATTTGGGGTCGAACGACCATTTTACAGGGGTCGCCAAACAACGCGATCCGCCATTTTCCCCCCTCAGGGGGCGCCGCTGCGGCACAGCCGTGTGACAGGGGTCGCCGTCACACAAACGTTGAGAAACGCTGATGTAATGCATTCTAGCAACATGATTCCTCAGATTACGCAGTTCATTTTCTGAGGTATATAAATACAGGTATAGGCACTAATATACTATTTTGATAAAGTTCATACTGACATATTTCGGTCTATGTACATACATTATACAAAGTGTTCATAATTTCCTATATGTGCAAAAAAAGAGTTTTTTTAGTATAATATTCTCTAATTGAACTTATTCTTTCTTTTTCCTGATTTATAGTAAGTATTTATCCTGCTACAGAGACAGAATATGCAAAACCCATTACCAGAATAAGCCAATTATTTCTGCAAAAAGAAGCTCTTTTTCCTGATGCTAGAAAGAGAGCAGTATTAACATGATGTAAACTGAATTATTATTTGTTTTGAAGCATTTGCCCAGTCCTGAGGGCTAAAAGGATTATGAAAACCCCAGGGCCATTCAAAGAATTACAGGATATTTGAAACTGTTTCTTTAATATACATATCTCATCAAAGCAGCCTGTAAGATAAAGTGGAACACTGTAAAATTTTATGAAATCACATGAAGGAGTTAAGGCAAGAGTATGGGGACAAAAGAATTTACATGATTAAAATGAAATTGTAAAAAGGTGCTGCGTTAATGGAAAAGTGTAATCCTTTCCTATGCTAGTTTATAACTTCAGGAAGAAAGTACAAGTTACCCTAATTTTTGGCAAATTGGTTTGATAACAGGTGGGCTGATAGAGACATGTTTGAAAACAGAATTTGTGCTTTTCTGAAGTCAGGACTTGCCCTTCCAAAGGGTTACATCAAAGCATAAGGCAGTTTCTATAAAGCAGTTATGAATAGCTTCAATTAGAATAAGCAGCATGTGGAGCGAGCTATTCAAATATACAATGGCAATCAGGGTGAGTTGTGCTTAAGGAGGAAAATGTAACTTGGTTTAGGCAACTAATTAAATTAATGAGATCCCCAAATATATTTTAAAGCCAGTTTGCCTTCTTAATATCAAATTACTCTATAGATTAATACTACACTATGGTAATAGAAAGTGTTTCTGAATAGCCCTGAAATTCTTAGTCTACATATTGCTATATAATATTTAGTGACTTTAAATTCTTAATGGCTACTGAATTAATTTCACACTATAGCTGTTTTATTAATGAGGAAATTGCTAAAAGGTTCTTAAGAGTTCAGCTGATATTTTAATTCAGATGGCTTATTCCAACAACCACAATCCATATGCTGGATTTGTGATAAAAATGCAACAAGTAAAATATGAAAACAATTGATCATTCAGCAATGCGAGTTATGCAAAGTTGTGAGTGTATTGTTTTTCCACTTCTTGCTTGAGATTAATCCATCTCATTAGTAATCAAGAAACTTCCATAAGAGAACATGGGTATGCAATGTACATAATATATCTTGATTTTCCCAAGTATCCTTTAGCAACCTGATTTCCATGTTAGTTCATTGCACCACATGACAATTAAGGATATATGAGTTCAAAAATGTAATTCAAAGTATGTTCCTCAATAGTTGCTCATCAAACAGGAGAGGGGTATTGAGTGGGAGTCCAAAAGATGCTTTTTCCGGAGGCAACTGGACTTTCAGGTTTTTCTTCAAAGATGTTTCGCTTCTCATCCAAGAAGTTTCAAAGAAGCTTTGTCTTCAAAGAAAAACAAGAAAGTCCAGTTGCCTCCTGAAAAAGCACATTTGGGACAACCATGACCTGGATGACTAAGAACCTCCATAGATACTGAGTGGGAGGTACACAGAATAAATACACCCCAAAAAATCACACCTAGGATCCCTACTTGACAATATTTGCATTAATAATTGGATTACTAATTGATATTCTGTGTATTTATTCAGAAAACTGAAATCTGTTTTAGTTTGTGAGCTGTAGAAAAAATCTTTGGCATTCTGCAAATATTTTTTACTTTTACTGTTATTTGGATCAATGTGTGGTACTATTGGAATTATCTATACATTTTCAAAATGAACCTGTGAAACTCATCAAAGATGTCTCTTGAATCCTTTTCTTTTAATTTGATATGAGAACAATTGGTCTGCTTTAGTGAAGAACATTTTGAGTACAACAGTAGCCATAACAACACACATTGCTATTAACTGTTAATGATATGATATGTCTCACTGATGTTTATATATTTTCTATATTTATGTATTTTCTATACCAAATTTGTTGAATCTGGGACTGATCTGATTGAGGGATGTATACAGTTCATAAATATAAATAATGCATGAGGTTATTGAATTAATTAGGAGTATGTTATACAATTCCCATGGAAGCTAATCTTTCTATGAAAATTTGTAATAATTAGGATTTCAACTGTTGCTTTAATGCTTTTAAATATCTAGGAAGAGTTATTTCATGGGGAAATGTTACATGATTAAAAGTTCCACTGAAATATGGGGAAAAAAATAAAAGTAATACAACTGATATTATTTTACGATTGATCTGTTTATTTAGAGCAGACATGTCAAATACAAGGCCCTAGGGCCGGATGTGGCCTGCAAAGTGGTTTCATGTGGCTCACGAAGCCATCCTGGAAACAGTGAGGGAATGGCCCCCGCTGCCTTGGCTCTGGCCCAGGCCGGCCGGGAGCTAATGTACAATTTTGTGGTGGCCATCTATGCTGAAACGCATTCAGTCTTAGCTCCACAAGGCTGTCTGGAACCAGTGAGGAACCAGCCCCTGCTGCGTCGGCCCCGCCTCCTGGGTGCATGCTGGAGAGGTGTCACCCTTTGTGAGGAATGAAGAAATGCACCATCACCTGGAAGTGGCCAGCAAATGGCCCTCGCCTACTTCACATATCTGGCTTGATGGGATCTGGGGGATGGGTTTTGGCAAGCAGCGGGGCACTCTCCTCACAGCGCCGAGAGGCTGAGCCAGGCAGTGCAAATCCAAAAAGAAGTGCGATGCCGCCCAGGGCCCAGCTTGCCCAGTTTCGGCAGGCAGCGGGGCACTCTTCTCACAGCGCCAAGAGCTGAGCCACTGGTGCAAATCTGATGAGAAGTACAATGCTGCCTAGCCCCCAGCCTGCCCAGTTTCAGCAGGCAGCAAGGTGCAAAGCTGGCGAGCTTCACATCGCCCAGCTCAACCTCTCGGCACTGTGAGAGTGCCCTGCTGCCTTCCAAAACCGGGCAGGCTGGGGGCTGGGAAACATCGCACGTCTTTTTTGATTTGCGTTGCCCGGTTCAGCCTCTTGGCGCTGTGAGGAAAGCACCCCGCTGCCTGCCGAAACTGGGCAGGCTGGGGGCTAAACAGATTGCACATCTCATCAGATTCGTGCCACCTGACTCAGCTCTTGGCACCATGAGGAGAGTGCCCTGTTGCCTACCGAAACTGGGCAGGCTGGAGGCTGGGCAGCATTGCGTAGGTAACATTGACTCTCACATTGCTCATGGCATCCCCTCCCCCAGAGCCCACCAAGCCAGATATGTGAAGTAGGTGAGGGTCATGTACTGGCCACTTGCAGGCGATGGTGCATTTCTTCATTCCTCACAAACGGTGACACCTCCCCAGCTGCATTTCTTGCCTGTTTTTCTTCCTCCCTCATCTCAAATATTTTCCCACTACTCTGTACTTAGGAGGGAAGAAAGGAAGGAAGGAAGGAAGGAAGGAAGGAAGGAAGGAAGGAAGGAAGGAAGGAAGGAGAGGGTGGGTGTGAGGGAAATCTTGCCTTAGTCCTGCCCTGCTGCCCTTTCACCATCCCCTTGCCCCCTCCTCTGGCCTATCCTGGGGGTCTCCCATCCTATTGCTAAGGAAGATTTGGATACAAAGCTGGCTCTCCTTCCATGGAGAGGGAATGGGCCTCCCTTTGACTTTGCCCTCATACCCATCATGAGCAACTTGGCTAAGGAGAGCAAGCACAGCAGCAACAGCAGTCTTGAGGAGGAGGTAAGTGCAGCTGGGCATCTCCTTGGGGAAGTGGGGCTGGGCTTGGTGCTGCGAGTGCTTGAGGTCCAGGCTGGACATTTGACCTGTGCTGCCCAGGGCTCCAGGCAGTGCACACCACCATCCAGCCCCCCCCCCCCGCATGGCCTGAAAGGTACAGTGAGGCTCCTCCAGTGGACCATGTCTTGGCACTTGGCCTGGCCCCACCCCCTTCTGCCAGAGACCCTCAGATATGTCTCACTTGTGCACAGGCCTCCACAGGCACCCTTAACGCAAATGATGTAGAGCTGGCCATGCCCACCCAGTAGGCCACACCCACTCCATCCACACCCACCCAGTAGGCTGCACCCATCCTGACCACAACCACCCAGCCCCCCGAGGGAAACAGCAATGCTAATGCAGCCCTCAGTGAAATTGAGTTTGACACCCCTGATTTAGAGGTTTCCTTGGATGAATACATTTATTTTAAACATATTGATATATTAAAATGTTTTCATAAAGAACTCCAACTATATTTTCTTAATTATTTTTATCTTTATTTTTAGGCACGTATTCTGAGTTCATTTTTTTAATGGAACACAATTTATTGTGAAAAAAGTATTATGGGCATAATCAGAGAGTTATGTGACTCCTTCAATCCTTATTACATAACAAACTCCCTGCTATAATCCAGTTTTGAAAACTGCCTCAATTTTAAATCAGTTTTGTCAAAAAAAAAATTAAATAAAAATTGAGTTTAAATAGAAATTTGACGTTGTGTAAAATTGCAAAATGTTAGGTTTTTTAATTAAAATATTTCTTGATTTCACCATTTACTTCAGATTTAAAATTGCTAGCATAAGTGGAACAAAAGTTGTAGACTTAACAACTTTTTTTTTGTAAGAAAATATTGTTAACTGGATATTGTTTTGCAAGAACTTTGGAATAACTAGCCGGAATATCCCATATCAATCAGTGATTGGCTAAGAGCTAAAAAAATACCTTAAAATGAAACTAATTCAATAAAAGTTTAGTTTTCATCTTTCTTGAACCCTCCCTGCCCAGACTGAAAGAGTCAGCTTTCAGCCTCACTTTGTTGGCAATATAAAATGTGTGAGTAGTCGCTTACTTATATAAGATGTACTTGTCTTATTGCCTATTTTGGTTTATTAACATTGCATTCCAAAGATTTTAGTAAAGATGTAAATGTACTGATTTACACTCTTGGATCACCAATGTGTAGCTTCTTCCTGTTTATGCTCACAACAACCCAAAAAATTATAATAAAACCAATTAAACATTCAAACAAATAAAAAATGGAAACATTATGAAGTTAAGGCCTGGGTGAATAGAAGCCAGGTTTCCATGCAGTGGAGACCATCCCCTCTTTTTGATTTCTGTTTTTTTCCTTTTCTCCCTTTATTTTTGAATAATAAAGCAATAAAAATGAAAACTTCAATACATAATGATTTGTTGTCTGGAATTCATATCAAAGTTGAAAATAAGCATTTAATTGACCAAGTAATCAGAGAAGGCATTCAAGTCATATTTGACATTTTCATTAGAAGGTGGTTATTAAATTACACAAACAGAAATCACATATGTATAAATTTAAACTAGTTGAGTATTAATTTTTAATTTAATGATCACATTAAAGGCATCCTATGCTGTATATCTGATAAAAATTCCATTGGATAGCAGTATTCTCAAAGACAGGGTTTTTAAAATTTCATATAACAAGAAGCTACTGCAAGATGATCAATTTGATCTTTTGCTGATCAAGCATTTGATGGATTCCTTCACCTCGTTTAATTGGTTCCCCATATCTTACCCTCTTACACTATATATATATATATATATATATATATATATATATATATATATATATATATATATATATATCATGTACCTCCTTAGAGAAAATCTGTTATATACTCACCATGGAATTCATAGCAAAATGATTATGTTGTGTCTGTAAATCAAGGGCATGTTGATAGCTCACTCCAATTTCAGTGTGACTCTGCAGGAACAACTCTTTGTTATGGCTGATCCAATCAAACATCTGAAAAAGAAGAAAATCCTTATTATGTTTAGAAATGCAGAAAGAGGCATGGAAGAAGAGTCTTTTGTCCTTTAATTCAGAACTGTAACTGAGACTAAATTTGAGAGACATCATTTAAATAAACACAATAAAGTATAATTGAATTAATTGGTCTCTGTTATACTTCTGCCATCCCTGTAGTTTTCATTCATTCATGCTTAATATGGCTGCTACAAAAATCAACACTCCAAAAGATAAATAAGCATTCAAGAACAAATATATGAAGGTATACTTTACACTCTGTCAATCGATTTACAAGTAATGTTTGCACAGAAAACGTCAGCAGGATATATACTGAACTGGCAGAGAATGTTTCAGAACTGGCTGAGGATGAAAGGAAATTTAGCAGATGAGACCAGAGAGATAGAGAAATGGGGGGGGGGAGAGATTGTGAGTACATTTCATATTGCAAATGATCCTTATACCTATGGAGTTTGAAGCTCTGAAAATCTGCTGTATCGTTTTCTCCAGCAACGCAGTCGAATTTTCTATTCATAATTTCAATTCTATAATTGCTTTTACTGTACTAGTTATTCCACATGCGAGAAGAAAACAGGCCAATGGAGTTTAATTACAAATTAAATTGCTGTAATACATAAAAGAACAAGCAGGATTCTTGTTTTCTTGATCTTCTCAATCCGTTTGGTCTAAATATAGCAGTGTCTCTTAATTAGGACAGCTTTACATGGAATTCAATTAATACAAAAGAGATAGCACATAATAATAAGGTTTTTTTAAAAATCAAGGGCTAAGAGCCATAGTGATTATCTGCACTATGAGAAGAAGAACGGCGAAATATATATTACTATTATTATCAGTTGCTGAGAAATATAAGTCTCTTTATTCCAGTCATACTCCAGATTACTTTTTCCAGCAATCCAAGATGCCATATTTCATATCTGGAAAATACACCAATTATCAGGTAAGCCTCAAAACTTGGTGAACAAGCACCATCCACAGTAACCTGGACTTTAGGTTTTAGTACAGCAAGCAAAACCAAATGGTTGTTGTGAGGTTTGAGCCAAGACACTCATATTTTTTACAGAGCTCTAATAACTCATGGAAAACTAATGCCTCCTGTTCTATAATACCTGTCCAGTGACCCATGGTGCAAGATGACAAAAAACAGCAACACTTTATCTTCATGCGGTAGCTTGTTTGAAGCGGGAGTATTGAAGAAGTATAGTAGATCAAGGCTTTTCAACCAGTGGTAAGGGTACCACCTGTGGTACATTGGCACCTGGCAAGTGATACACAACCATCCTAGAAAAGTGGTAGCAGGGGAGGGGAATGAGCTGAACCGGTGGCAGCACCGCACAAACCTGAGTGAGAGATGGCTGGAGCTGCAGGGCTTCAGGGCTCAGCGGAAGCGTCAGGATCAACACTTCTTCGGGGCTGTCAGGGCTCAGTGGAAGTGCCAGGATCAGCGCCAGGCTCCAGCTGGAGCTTGACGCTGATCCTGGCACTTCTGCTGAGCCCAGAAGAAGTGCCAATCAGCTGGAATGTTGCAGCATCTCCAGGGTCTTGTGATTTACATTCAGATGCTTGGCAACTGATTCATATTTATGACATTCACAGTATCCCAGGATCACGTGAAGTGACCAAAACCTGCTGCAACCACCCAGCAGATGGGGGGAATAAAAACCAAACACTCCCCACCCCACCCCCGCTGCCAATCCTCAACAGAAATGCTCACAACAATGAAAATCTCGGACAGGAAGAAGAGCGCTGCCAGGTAGGCAGGCAGGTGTCTTGCTTGGCTGTGGCTTGGGGGGCGCTTTTTTCAGTGCCATTGTAACTTCAAACAGTCACTAAGCGAACTGTGGTAAGTCGAGGACTACCTGTACGTCATCACTTTTTTCCTTTTGGGGGGGTCATTAAGTTTTTGACACCTTGCTAGGCGACTCGGATATTGCCATATCCTAAAAGTAGTACAATGAGTGAAAAGGTTGAAAAGCCCTGTAGTAGATGGAACATGTTATAAGAGTCAGGTGAGCCTCTAGTATTTTTGAAGCAAAGAGGATGTTAAGCTACTTTGCCATAGAGATTTCTACTGAGGAAGCTAGGTCAAAAACTAGAGTGGCTTTTTTCTAAGTTCTGGCTGGTCTTACATAGTTTAATCATTCTTCCCCCCCCCCCCCAGGAAAACAGAACGGATTCTTTCAAGACAGCTAACTCAGGGAAGAAATCTTCACAATTTGGCTTGGTTTGTTCTCTTTTGCAGCTCCTCATTAAGAGGAGACATGCAACTTAAATGAAAAAGACTGATGCATAAGAGCAGAATTGATAAAATGAAACCCAGAGCAACATACAAGCAACAGATTTTGATTTCTGTTTTAGGAACCAAGAACAATTTATCTTATTAAATATTTTACATGCTGGACTTGAACATTCTCCCCCCAAAATTGGGTTTTTTATTTCCTGTAAGCCATTTTGAGTCACTGTGAACGAGTAGACGGCAATATAAATTTTCAAATAAATAAATAAAACAAGCTATACCCATTTATGGAGGCAACAGTCATTTGGCAACAAGCCCTAACTCTCCCCTCATACTTAGTACATTACATGAAGGCAATTTATCTGGGATAAACCTGAAATTAAGCAATTAAAAGCATCGAAGTATTGTTGCCAAGGGATTGTGAAAGTTTTTATTTATCCATCATTATATACTGTTTCCACAAAAATAACACCCAACCAGAAAATAAGCCCTAGCATGATTTTTCATGTAATATTAGTCCCACTCCCAAAATAAGCCCCAGTTAAGATCATCAGTCAGATGGACACATTTAGTATTGTATTTCCACGAATATAAGCGCTAACCAGAAAGTAAGCCCTAATGCACCTTTGGAGTAATAATAATAATAATAATAATAATAATAATAATAATAATATAAAAAATAGAAAAAGTTGGAAGGGACCTTGGAGGTCATCTAGTCCACCCCCCTGCTCAGGCAGGAAACCCTATACCATTTCAGACAAATGACTGTCCAGTCTCTTCTTTTCAGATAATCATACCGGGTATTTCTTTTCTATTTCTTTTCTTCTCTTTTTAATGGGACCTTTGACTCTAGAAAATATGACAGAAGATTCAGAATGGGGTAAATTAATATACAGTAAGACCCTGTCTTATTTTCAGGGAAACACAGTGCCTCTTTTCTGGGGGAACAAAGTGCATGGCTCTTCATGGATAATTGCAAAACTACATAGACACAGTTAGTTGCTTTTTATGTCTCCCTCACTCAGTCCAAATTTACTTGGAAAATATTGACAGCAAACTAAACTATCTTTTTATACATTAGTAGCATCATCATGCTTGACTATTACTACTATTAATATTTTGCCAAAACTATGCAACCCGAATGGAATTGTGAACACGCTTAGAATACTTTGCACTTTTCCTCTCTGGATAGATTCATCATCCAATATAAAAAAGTTAAAAGCACATGATCCTTCGCATCTCTTCATAATTGAAAGACTTATTCTGTCTTGTCTATTTATACAAGGTATTGACATACTATGTGCATGCATGCACACTTACACACCAATGCACACCCGCAACCCCACTTCTATTATACAAAATGATCATGGGGAACAAACCATTTTGGTAAAATGTGGTTAATTAAAAAAATATCATAATCAAATTATGGTAAAAGAGTTAGATGCTAGAATTTGGGGGTTGGGTTATTTAATGAAGGAAAGAGATTATGGGATGCTGAAGGGAGAGGAACAATTAATTCAGTGATTGGAAAATATGAATCAATGATTCTAAACAACAGCTCTGGAAAAATTCATGGGGAGGAGAAAAACTTTCTTTAATGTACATCTGATTATCTCCTTTAAAATTAGCAATCTTGATACCAAACTTAACAAAAAATATCTTATTTTCAATTATGTTTATGCCTTGTTGAAGTTCATATCTCAGATAATAGGAAATTTGTGCAGGTAGGTAAACTGCTGACATGTCTCCTTATAGTTGCATGTCTTCATATTCCACCAAGAAATATAAGGCTATTAATCTTTTATAATCCTCTGGTGATTTAGTTGAATATCATAAATTCTTTCACAGATGAATGTCTTTTAAAGATAATTATCTCTCTAGCTCATTATCTCGTGTGTTTTCAGCTTGAAAAGCAGGGGGCACAGAATTGTTAAGTGCTCCATAATTACATTCAGTTTATTGAATTCTTCTTTCTGAAGGAATCAGAGGTAGTATGCAGGATTCCTCTATGCAATATTTTGGTAAATATATAAAGTAGAAATCTGAGCTAGATCCCCTACACATGTATTTTAATTTCTCAACTGATATTAAAATGAGGACCCAGTTCAGAATTAGAATACTTTTGCAATTCTAGTCTTTTGGTTTAGTGTGATTGAGCAAACAAATTAGTAGGATATATTTAATTGCTCCCACTGGAATCTTTGTGCCAGCAAAGGTGGCTAAACAAACCAAACTCCCTATCATTTGTTTGATACTATATACACGAAGACCTAAAATATGTACACAATGGTGGAACAAATTAATCACCAGTGAGATTTCCTGATTTGCTTGGTCGTTAACATTGGAAGTAGAAATTGAGTGGAAGAAACGAAAGAGCATTCAGGCAGTCCTCAATTTACAACAGTTCATTTAGTGACCATTCAAAGTTACAATGGCACTGAAAATGTGACTTATGACCATTTTTCACACTTATAACTGAGGCAGCACCTCCATGGTCACATGATTTATATTTGGATGCTTGACAACTGGTTCATATTTATGACAGTTGCAGTATCCTGTGGTCATGCGATCGCCTTTTACGACCTTCCAAAAAGCAAAGAGAATGGGGAAGCCAGATTCACTTAACAACTGTGTTACTAATTTAACTCCTTCAGTGATTCAATTAACAAATGTGGCAAGAAAAGTCATAAAAATGGGGCAAAACTCATTTAACCAATTTCTCACTGAACAACATACATTTTGG